CGTTACACAGTCGCTCCACCTCAAGTCACTACTGCACAGACTCTGGCTCCAAATTTGCAAGATGGCATCCTCCACAAGCGGCGTATTTTGAGAAGATGCTTGGAGATGCTCTTGGGGGGTATTTTGGCTTCATTTTTGCACAATGGTAGGAGGCGGGGTCGCGTTGTCCATCTTTTCTACGGTCAATGAGCTCCACAGTGGCTGGCTGTGTCCCAATTCCGGGTCTGCACGCTTGAAGTACGCATTTTAAGTGTGATTACGTCACCGTCAATCACAAGTTATGGTCGGGAGCAGTTTATGTGGGTTCATTGAGAGTGTGCGTCCATAAGACTGGTGACTTACAGGATATTTCTTGTGTAAGAAGGATAGCCTGTATGTTTTATCGCTCTGTTTATCCTCTGTTTGTACAGTCTCTATAAGCTATCGCTAAGCTAAGCTAAGTTCGCCTAGGCCATGTGTGGCTGTAATATGTTATATAGTGATTATTGTTGTCTATATTTGATTGGAATTTGTGTTCTGTTTGTTCATTCTGTTTTGTAGAACCACACCTTTGTACGTCTACAGTAATGGAGGATTTGGAGGCTGAACTCGGCTCTGTGACACTTAGTGTAGTGAACTGATGAAAGCTGTGTCTCAGATGTTAGTCCACCACATCAGACGTGACCTCTGCAGCTCTCAGTTGATGTGCACGTTTGTGTTTCCTCTGCAGGTGAAGGTAGAAAGTGTGTGTGAGCTGATGTGAATTCAGCAGCATGGATCAGTGTGAGGACAAAGAGGAGGGAGTCGATCCCTCTAAAACCACTCTGTGTGGGGAACATGAGAGCCAGACAGACGAGTCGAAGGGCGATGGTTGTCCTCCTGCAAAGAGGTAATGTGTGTGTAAATGTTGTTGTGTGTTTGTGAATAAATCCTCCATCATGTTTAATGTCAGCTGTGTCACACACATGTTCATATGTGAAGCGGTGTGTGTTGGAGTGTTTCCACAAACACAGCAGTCAGAGTGTAAAGAGTGGATGTTGTAGGAGGTGTTTGTGTAGTGAAGAGTCTCTGCAGGACTCCAGCTGCTCCAGCAGGGGTCTCCTTTGTGCTTTGCTTCAAACACCGTGTAGGTGGGAACTTCCACTCAGGTGTTGCTGGATGGAGGAGGATGAATAGTTCAGTGAGGGTGAGAAAGTAAGAACTTTCCACCTGAAACCAGCAGAAAGAAGTTTGGACTTTGAAACTCATGTGCTGCTGTAGAGCGAGTGCATCAGCTCCAGCCTGTGTGCAGCACTTAATGTCTTTAAGTACAGCTGATGTTTGTCTGCTCTAATAGAGGAGAAAAAGCTCATTAGGATCAACAGCAACCTGAGAATATCTCCAAGGACCAGAGTTACCCCATCATCAGATAATTATATTGGAACTGTTATATGACAATTTCTTCTTGATACCATGTTCCTGACTGCAGAGCAGATTTAGAAACCTGATCTCAAACTGGTGCCAGTATAATCGTGATAAAACTGGTTTGTTAATCTTTTTGTGGAGTCTTTTTTTTTTTTCTTTGTTTGACTTTATATTACATTTTTCATACACTTCAGCTGATTTTAAGTTTTCTGAAGATTGTAATTGTTCCTTCTACCCCCTGGATCAGAGACTCCCTGTGTTCAGTGAGTTAGAGTGGGGCCTCATCTTTCCTTAGCCCTCAGCCTTAACACCAGCTCTCCACAAGGCTGCCCCCTACTGTATTTTATTCATTATTGATTCTTTACCATTCAGTGTGTGATGTTATTCTCACCACAGAATAATCCATCCAGAAAAGTCAGTCATAAGTAAAATCTAAATAATCCAGATTAAACATGTAATCTGCTGTGAAATATACTAAATAAGTAAAAAATAAAGTGTGCTGAGACCGTGATTCATCTTCTCTCATGATTTACAGGTCAAAGATGGAGGCGTCAGTTGAGGAACAGCTCCTGAGCATGCTGGATGATTTAAGAAAAAAGGAGCTGAAACGTTTCCACTGGTACCTGCGGAAGGGAGGTGATTTCACGCCCATCAAAACCTGCCTCCTGGAGGAAGCAAGCAGAACGAGAACAGTGGATCTCATGGTGGAAACATATACTACTGACCATGTGATGGAGGTGGCGAGGTTGATTTTAAAGAAGATTAAAGAAGGTCAGTCAGAGAAAAAACAAACAGTCAGTGTGTTAGGAAGACACAACATTCTCTCAATTTATTGTATGTATTGAACTTCTTAGTTTTCTCTTCCCTCCTCAAATAATCTTTGAGTACAAATGTTATATTTACGTTATTTTGAATCCACAAAGGTTTTCATTTTTAAAAAGCTCATGATTTAAGGTGCACTTTCCTTCAACAGGAACTCCCTCAGCCCAGGAACCCTCATCACTTTCATCAGAAAGTAAGAATTCATCCGTTTGTCTGAAGAGACGTGGATGAAGCAGAAACACATGAACTCTGAGCTGACCAATCAGAGCTCAGATTCTTTGCATTTGATATCTCTGTAGCTTCAGTGCAGCTCTGTGGTATGAAGTCAGAGCTCTAATGAATGAATGACTAGTTGGTTTAAAAATCTCTAACCATAGTTCACTGGCTATAACTATGTTCATAGTAGATTCTAAAAAAACGGAAAAATATCTAACATGTTTGGAGATGTTTGAAATAGTCAAATAAGTCATGCTTTAGGAAGGTTATACAATGACTTCATAACACATTTAGAGCTTCACTCTTTCAAAATCAGAGCAACATGTTCCAGCCCTAACTATATGCTTTAGCAAAAAGGAAAGTTTGAAGCCTAATCTT